TTTCATGTCGGAGGATGAGGAGGAGGAAGAGGAGGAGGAGGAGGAGGAGGAGGAGGGGGAGGAGGAGGAGGAGGAGGAGGAGGAGGAGGAGGAGGAGGAGCTAGCCTTCTCTCCGACTCCCCACCCCCCCGCCCGCGCCCCGGCAGAAGGCGCAGTCGCGTGACGCGGTCGCACCCGGCACCTGGGTGTCACGGGGGGCGGCGAGCGCCTTCACGCGGGCGCGGCGTGAGAGGCTCCTCGACGGACGGGTCTGGGAGGTCGTCGGTCGACCGCGCCGAGGGGCAGTCCGAACCCGCCGGGGTCCCACGCCCCCCTCGGGGTGAGCTGGAAGGCGGGAGCGGCTGCCGCATGGGCCTCCCGACGCGCGCTGGCGCCGCCCCTTCCGAGAATCATGAACATGCAGGGCACCATCGTGCAGCACTTCCCGATGGGCCTGGGCACTGGCGCCTCACGGCTGTCGCAGGCGCACGGTCGGGAACTTTCGGACAACGTGCCGCTGCGGCGGCCACGGCGACACGCTGCGCCCTGCGAGCGCATCGCGTATAGCGTGTCGATTCCGCTCCACGGGGTGGAAGGCTGGGAAAGGCTCGGGACGTTGACGCTCGGGGGCAGCGAGGTGGCCAGCGTGTCGCGCCGGAGCGCGGCGGGCCGGAATCGGCAGACCGAGACGATGTCCAAAAGTTCTCGACCGTACCACTCCCCTGAAGAGCATCATCTTGACGCACCCCCTCGAACAGGCCGTCATGGCGATCATCCTCTGGAGCTCCCACTGGAAATCCGCCGACCCTGTTGGCGTGTGGAATGGCCTGTCCTTCTCGCCCGTGCCTCCTTCCCTTTCCCACCTTCTCCGTCTCCTTCTCGTTCGTCTCCCTCTCCTCCTCCTCCTCCTCCTCCTCCTCCTCCTCCTCCTCCTCTCCTCCTCCTCCTCCTCCTCCTCCTCCTCCTCCTCCTCTCCTCCTCCCTCCTCCTCCTCCACTCCTCCCCCTCCCCCTCCTCCTCCTCCTCCTCCTCCTCCTCCTGCTCCTCCTCCTCCTCCTCACACACTTCCTCCGCCTACCCTGTCACGTTGTCCTTCAGTTCCTTCCTGTGGTCACACATCCCGTCACCAAAAACCTTCAGGGTCGGCGGCACCGGCCGTAAGGCCTTCACAGTACTCATTCCAAAACGAGGGCTGACAACACTACCGTCTTGCAAGCCGTCACCTTCAAGACCAACACATTGAAGATCATCGTCTTGGAACACGCCTCCAACAATGCCATGTCAGCTCGAACACAACCCTCTTGAATAGTACGGAGAAAGCTGTTACCAGCCATTTCAAGCCCATCATCAAGGAACACGGTTGTTTGAACACATCACGTTGAGGAACTCACGTAAGTGTTGAAGACGACATATGCTCATACCACTACCTTGAAGATAGCCTTGTCGAAGACCCAGCAAACATTATCTAGACTATCGTCATCTTGACGAGCACTCCCACTGATGATTGCCGGGGTCCTTTTGGATAGCACCATTTAGAATCATGACACCTTCACGGGCATCACCCCTATGCTGAGCTTCGTCTTGAGCAGGGTATTCTGGAACGCCAGGGGGCCTCGGCTTTCCTCAACTCGGCTCAGCGTTGCAAGGCGAGCCCGAAGGCAATCGCGACCGTCTCCTCTGCCGAAGCACTGCTGATCTGCCGGCCGTCTGGCAAGACGGCGTCCACTCGTGCGACCCCGAATCCGAGCCTGCCCGCACGGCGATCGATCATCAACTGCTCATAGACTTCTGTCAGGCGAGTGGAAGGCCCAACCTCAATTCGGCACCGAACCGCCCCGCCGTACGTTATGAAGCAGATCGAATCGCCGTCGAACGAGGCCTGCAGGAGCAATGCTTGCGACAAGCGGGCCGTGTAAATCTGGCCCGCGGCCAGCGCCGGAAGGTCACACTGGCCGTCCTCGTTGGCGCCAGAGGCCACAACCGTGCCGTCGCTCGCTAGAAGAACTGTATGGCGCCCTCCTGCGGCTGCGTGCGTATAGGTCTGGCTTGTGGCCCGAGCGGGAAAGGCACACTGTCCAGAGCCCTTGCTACCGCAGGCCACGGCCGCGCCGCTGCTCGTCAGGAGGATCGTATGAAAATCTCCAGCGGCGACCTGCTTGTAGGTCTGGCCCGTGGGCGGCGCTGGGAAGTCGCACTGGCCGCGACGAGAGTAGCCGCAAGCCACGGCTGTGCCGCCACTCGTCAGCAATACTGTATGGCGCCCTCCAGCGGCAATCTGTGCGTATGTCTGGCCTGCCACCAGCGCTGGAACCTCACACTGGTGGAAGCCATTGCTGCCGCAAGCCACGGCCGTGCCGCTGCTCGTCAGCAGGACTGTGTGGAACCCTCCAGCGGCGACCTGTGTGTAGGTCTGGCCTGCGGCAAGGGATGGAAGGTTGCACTGGCCGAGATGGTTCAAGCCGCAGGCTGCGGCTGTTCCGTCGCTTCTTAGGAGGACCGTGTGGTAGTTTCCAGCGGCGATCTGCGTGTACGTCTGGCCTGCCACCAGCGCTGGGACCTCACACTGGCCGAAACTGTCGTCGCCGCAGGCCACGGCCGTGCCGCCACTCGTCAGCAAGACTGTGTGAGACCCTCCAGCGGCGACCTGCGCATAGGCCTGGCCCGCGGCCGGTGACGGAATCTCGCACCGCCCAGAGCCGTTGTTGCCAGAAGCCACGGCCGTGCCTGGGCGGCCCGCAAGAAGGGGGCAGGGCTGGAGAGGAGGGTGGCCCCCCCATAGAGCGCATCATTTTTAGATTCGCGGCCATAACAGGCGTTATGGCGGGGGGGCGGCGGGGGGGGGCATGACGTAACGCACCCCCCTCGTCGTGTGGTTCCGGCACCACAGTGCCTGTACGCATCACAACAAGCACCACAGTGGGCAGCACAGTATGCACAGCCGCAGCCGCGTGCACCACATCGCTTATGTACTGCGCAGTGCGTACGTGCTGCACCAATGTTTTTTTGTTCCCCCGTACCCTCCTTGGAGCATTATTCTGTACTGGTGTTTGCAGGACGGCGAGGGCGCCTGAGCGCCTGACGACGACGACGACGCCGACGACGACTAAGACAACGACGACGAGGACGAGGACGGGGACGGGGACGGGGACGGGGGCGGGGACGTGGACGGGTACGACGACGACGAGGAGGACGAGGAGGACGAGGACGAAGACGACGACGACGAGGACAAGGACGACAATGACGACGACGACGAGGACAAAGATGACGAGGACGAGGACGAGGACGAGGACGGACGCCTCTGAAGGTCTCCAGAGGTCTATGGAGGCCTAAGGAGGTTTCTGGAAACCTCTGGAGGCGTTTGGAGGCCCTTCGAGGCCCTCGGCGACGACGACGACCGACGAGGACGAGGTCGACGACCAGGACCACGACGACGACGACGACAGGGACGAGGACGAGGATGGGGACAAGGACGACGACGATGACGACGACGGCGACGACGGCCGCCTCTGAATGTCTCCAGTGGTCTCTGGAGGCCTACGGAGGTCTCCGCAGACCCCTGAAGGCGTCTGGAGGCCCTTCGCTGCCCTCGACGACGATGAGGACGACAAGGACGATGACGACGAGGGCGACGAGGACGAGGACGGCATGCCGACGGCCCGCTGGCTGGGGCGCGGGCCCTGGAAGACGGCTAGTACACAGAAGTAGAGCCACACTCCTGATCACCTAGGGGCTTGCTACTGCCACGGAGGACTCGGTGCGGCCACCCTGCGCTCCCGGTGGCGCCTCAAGGAGCGCCACGCGCCGGGAGCAGCCTGCCGTAGGGATCGTCACGGCCGTGTGGTCGTCCTCTCCCAGCAGGCCTCCGACCGAGAACGAAGTTCGGCTCAAGTGCTTGACGTAGAAATTCAAATACTTTAGGCCACGCTTCGTCTTTCCATGAACAACCTTCAGCTCAACTTGTTCGAAAGCAAGCCATTCCGATGTCTTCGCAGGAGGTTCCAATACGGTGTAGCGGTATCCTCCAGCTTGCTGGAACTCTGCCCAAGACCCAGTAACATTCAATTCTTGGAAGTACATATCCGCGCACCCACCCAGTCGGCGCGCATAGGCCTGCACGCGAAGCAATGCTCTGTCAGCGCGCTGCCCACGAGGAATATTGATCAAGACGTGCTGGCCTGGCTTCATCAAGTCGAACCGCTGACCATGGACGTTCTGAAGGTGGGGATCGCCTTTGCCAGACGGGTCCACCTGTCCGGGCCCACCAGTTCCTCCCGACGGGAGCGGGCCGGCCGTCGGGCTGGGCGTCGGGCTGGCCGTCGGCGAGCCGGCCGCCACGGTCGGGCTGGGCGTCGGGCTGGGCGTCGGGGTGCCCGCAGGGGGGCACACCAGGACCAGCTCGTTGTATGAGTTGTCCGGCTCCCGCACGAAGGTGTTGTAGTCGCAGTGGTCGTGCCGCGGGTCCAGCTGACTGGCTGCGCATTTTTGGAAGAACGTGTCCCTGTTGGAGTCCAGAGTGGCGTATGCAGCATCCCACTCAGACTGGGTGGCGTAGCGCAACCCCCAAGGGCAGAACCAGTCATAAGTAGACAGGGCATTGAGCTCGGAGCACCAAACTACACCAGAGCACGGAGAAGCCCAGAGGAAACAGATGCCGTTGACGTTGTAGCAGTACGGCTCCGCAGGATAAGCACCAGTTCCGCCCGCCGTCGGGTCGAACGTCGGGCTGGGCGTCGGGCTGGCCGTCGGCGAGCCGGCCGCCACGGTCGGGCTGGGCGTCGGGCTGGGCGTCGGGGTGCCCGCAGGGGGGCACACCAGGACCAGCTCGTTGTATGAGTTGTCCGGCTCCCGCACGAAGGTGTTGTAGTCGCAGTGGTCGTGCCGCGGGTCCAGCTGACTGGCTGCGCATTTTTGGAAGAACGTGTCCCTGTTGGAGTCCAGAGTGGCGTATGCAGCATCCCACTCAGACTGGGTGGCGTAGCGCAACCCCCAAGGGCAGAACCAGTCATAAGTAGACAGGGCATTGAGTTCGGAGCACCAAACTACACCAGAGCACGGAGAAGCCCAGAGGAAACAGATGCCGTTGACGTTGTAGCAGTACGGCTCCGCAGGATAAGCACCAGTTCCGCCCGCCGTCGGGTCGAACGTCGGGCTGGGCGTCGGGCTGGCCGTCGGCGAGCCGGCCGCCACGGTCGGGCTGGGCGTCGGGCTGGGCGTCGGGGTGCCCGCAGGGGGGCACACCAGGACCAGCTCGTTGTATGAGTTGTCCGGCTCCCGCACGAAGGTGTTGTAGTAGTCGCAGTGGTCGTGCCGCGGGTCCAGCTGACTGGCTGCGCATTTTTGGAAGAACGTGTCCCTGTTGGAGTCCAGAGTGGCGTATGCAGCATCCCACTCAGACTGGGTGGCGTAGCGCAACCCCCAAGGGCAGAACCAGTCATAAGTAGACAGGGCATTGAGTTCGGAGCACCAAACTACACCAGAGCACGGAGAAGCCCAGAGGAAACAGATGCCGTTGACGTTGTAGCAGTACGGCTCCGCAGGATAAGCACCAGTTCCGCCCGCCGTCGGGTCGAACGTCGGGCTAGGCGTCGGGCTGGCCGTCGGCGAGCCGGCCGCCACGGTCGGGCTAGGCGTCGGGCTGGGCGTCGGGGTGCCCGCAGGGGGGCACACCAGGACCAGCTCGTTGTATGAGTTGTCCGGCTCCCGCACGAAGGTGTTGTAGTAGTCGCAGTGGTCGTGCCGCGGGTCCAGCTGACTGGCTGCGCATTTTTGGAAGAACGTGTCCCTGTTGGAGTCCAGAGTGGCGTATGCAGCATCTCACTCAGACTGGGTGGCGTAGCGCAACCCCCAAGGGCAGAACCAGTCATAAGTAGACAGGGCGTTGAGTTCGGAGCACCAAACTACACCAGAGCACGGAGAAGCCCAGAGGAAACAGATGCCGTTGACGTTGTAGCAATACGGTTCCGCAGGATAAGAAGGGGTGCTCATGTTGGTGATCATGTCGGTGTTCACGCGCAGCTGGACGGAGATCGCAACGGACAAACTTCGTAGATATATCACCACCAACAACGCGGAACAATGCCTCCTGTGGACGAGCATCCCTATATCCAAGTTAAACAAGAAATGAACGAAATGTAATCGCCTTATCACGTAGGTGTGCAGTACTGCAAATAGCTTGATGCGACTTGTTGGTCTGAAGGGCTTGAGCCAAAGTTGCTTGAGCCAAAATGGCTACGGAGGGCGACGAGGACGAGGACGAGGACGAGGGTGAGGACGAGGATCACGACGGTGAGGGCGACGAGGAGGACGAGGACGATGACGAGGACAACGATGACGACGACGACGACGGCCGCCTTCAGCAGAGTCCAGGAAACCCCGAAGATGCCCCCGAAAGGCCCCAAGACCCCCCAACACCGCCTCCGAGAGGCTTCAGATAGGCCTCCCAGGAGATCCCCGCAGGCATCCGCGAGGCCTCTGGCTTACAGCATGGGCAAGGTGGCGAGATGGGCAGAAGGCCAGATGCTCGATCATCCTTTGCGCCACCGATGGTGGAACAAAGCACAGCATAAGCATGCTATCTCTGGCCATCGCTCGGACGTCCATTCCCTGTGTTTCTTTTCGGTTTCGTGCGTGTTTTTTTCGCCAAGTGATCAAGGATGCTCCTCGATGGTCCTCGCCGAAGGAAAAATGCACACGTCCGAGCGATGCCAAGCTGGCGCCCTCTCCCTAGCGCGCGGACGCGCCACGGGCGGCGCCGGAAGCGCCGCCAGGGGCCCCCAGCGCCGATCCGAGACATCCGCGCGTGGGCCTCCGAAAACTACCGTCTGTTCATTTTTTCCTTTCCGACCCTCGGCACCACCATTCGTTCTCCTTGTTGCTCTTCTTCCTCCTCCTCCTCTTCCTCGTCCCCGCCCATCTCTGCCATCCGCTGGATTCTCCTCATCCTTGTCCTGCCCCCTCCCGTCCGCTTTCCCCCTCGTCCTCCTCTTCCCTGCTCCTCCTCCTCCTCCTCCTCCTCCTCCTCCTACTCCCTGTCCCTCCCTGCTCCCCCTTCTTCTCTCTTGGGGAGCGGGAGGGAAGGCTTCTTGGAAGGAGGCTACTTCTTAGAAGGCGCCGGACCTACATCTACAGACAAGGCCAGCATCTTCCAAGAAGCAGGAGTGCTTCTAAGAAGCCTTTCCCCCTCACCCTAAGTCTCTCTGCGCGTGGCCGATCTCGATTCGTGCCGCGTTTCTTGACGTCTCCCGTCCACTTTCCTCCTCGTCCTCCTCTTCCCTCCTGCTGCTGCTGCTGCTCCTCCTCATCCCTCCTCCTCCTCCTCCTCCTCCTCCTCCTCCTCCTCCTCCTCCTCCTCGCCCGATTTGCTCCCCAGGCTGCTCTTTCAGCTGGATGATGGGCCCCTGCGTGAGGCGGTGTGGCTTCTTCTGCGGCTGGTTGTTCCCGGGTGCCTCGCTGTTCGGCCCCAGGGCTGGCGCGGCAGTTGTGCAGCTCCCCTGCGCACGGCGGGCCCGGTGGACCAAGGCGAGTCTTTCCGCCTCGTTATTGTAAAAGCTCAACTGGGGCTTCTCCAGGAGAGGATCCTCCTCCAGCGCCTCGGGCCCACGATGTTGAAGTCCATCGCTCCTGGCACTCAGAGTGGCTGTGTGAGGGACGTGGGCGACCCACAGCTCCTCCTGCACGAGCTGGCTGCGGGGGCCGCGGCCGCGGGCAGGCCGGTCTGGGCGTCGTTTGGGGACTTGCATTAAGTCGGGCGTGTCCCCCTACAGGGGGATTTTCGACGAAATGAAAAATACCCCCAAACTGCCCCGAAAAGGTAAACAAACAAAAACAAACCAGACTATTTTTGGACTATTTTTTGATTATTTCTGGGGTATTTTTTAGTTTTCGTCGAAGATCCCCCTGTAGGGGGACAGGCCCGACTTAAGACTCGCAGAAAAGTTTCTCCCCGGAAGTGGCGGGCCGCCCTCCTAGGCCGTCTCCGTGTCTCGGCTGGTGTCTCGGATGGGGCCTTCGCGCTGCTCGCGAGCAATCTGGAGAAGGACGTAGCCCATGTAAGCTACAATGGTGTGCAGACGGTCGATGTTGTGGAGGCCATCTCAGAGGGAGGCACTATAGGGCCCAGGACTTCCCAGGGAAACGAAAAATGACATACATGTAAAAACTCGGAGGTCCGCGCGGACCTCCGAGTTTTTATGTTTATGTCATTGTTCGTTTCCCTATTTCCGGAGTACATGGAATAGCTCACGGAGGACCTGCTTGCAGCAGGATGCGGGGTTGGGGTGGGCATCCGCATGCCGGGGGCCTGGGCCCGGCACCGTTGGAGGGGGACCGGGGGCCCCGAGAGCCAAATCACGGCGTCCCTGGCGAGCGCCCTGCGCCAGGGCTCCCCGCTCCCATCACAGGAGCAGCTGTCGCAGGATCCGAGCCTGGAGGCGTCCGCGTTGGCGGCGCTGGACGCTGCAGCACCGCGGAGACTCGCAGCGATCTTGCACGCGGACGACCCAAGTCCTCTTGGCGTCCTCCCGCGCAGGAGCCCAGGCGGCGCAGGTGGTGCTTGCGAGCTGGGCCTTCAAGATGAAGGCGTCGGCGCACACGAAGGCTGCCAAGCATGCAGTCGTGGTCCACGGAGGGGAGCTCGCGCGGGCAGCGTGCGCGGAGGCCTCCCCGGTCACCCTGCCCCTGGCGGGGGTCGCCCCCGTGCCGCTCCAGCTCGCGCCCAGCCACAAGTGGCTGGGTCTGCTCTGGCCTGGCGACCTGGACCTCAGCAGGGTTCTTCGGGCCCGGCCGGGGGCAGCCTCCTCGCAGTGCGCAGCCCTCGCGGGGCACGTCGCCTCGGGGGTCCTCCCGCTTGCCGCGGCCCTCGGTGCCTTCGAGTCGCAGGTCGAGTCGTCCTTCTGGTTCGGGCGCTGGCTCTTCGCGGTCGCCGACGGAGGCAGCGAGCAGCTGGATGCGGCCTATGAGGCGTGGGCGAGGGCCTTCCTCAGCTGCCCGCCCTGGCGCCCCACGCAGGCCGCGCGCGCGGAGCTGGGCTGGGTCCTCACTGGGTCCAGGCGGGCCGTCCCGGACGTCGCGTCGCGCAGGGCAGGTCTGTGGCTGCTGGGCGATGAAGACCCGCACAGGGTGGCCTTCGCGTGTGCCCACACTGCAGGCGGCAAGTCCTGGGCGCGGGCTTCCTTGGGCCTACTGGAGCGCTGGGGCCTCCCCGATGGGCCAGCATGGATTGACGCCTTCCCGGCCGGGACAAAGACCAATACAAACCGACGTAGAGGCCCTGGTACAGGGGAGGTGCTGCCGTGATCTCGCCCAGGCCCTGGCTGCCCACGTGAGGCCGCTGTCGTACTTGTACCTCGGCCCCATGCCGAGCGCCGACCTCAGCGAAGGCCTGCGATTGTCCCTCCCCTGGGAAGTGCTCCGTGGGCAAAGAGCACTGGCCTGCCTCCAGTGCCGGCTCCCCCGGCTCAGCCATCTCGCTAGTGCACGGTCCTGGGCAGCCGGGCAGCAGTGTATCATCTGTGACGTGACTGTCCACAGCCCCACCTTCCACGTGCTCTCTTGCTATCCGAACACGAACTCGCAGAGGCGTAGGTTCTGGCAGGCGAGGAATGCATCCCCTCCTGAGTCGCGGGAAGCGTGCGCGCGAGCTCTCATGAGTGTGCGTCCGGGGGGCGCCGGCTACGCAAAGGCAAGCGTCCTGGGAGCCCACATCGAGAGATGTGGGACCGAGTTCTGAGCCACCCGACAGTGCTGAGACAGGATTGCAATCTCCCTTCTCCCTGGATTACCCCCTCCCCCTCAGTCCTCCAAGGTCTCGCAGCTGCGTGCTGCGCTGACATGAGGCGGCTGGGGGTCGGGCGGGGGTCCCTGTCGAGGTGGGTTCCCTTTGGGTCTCCCTCCCAGGCCTTCCCACTCCTCGCACTTGTCCCTGGGTGGAGTCTGGTGCCCGTCTCTGGAGCGCAGGGTGGCGAGTCTTCTCACCCCCGCGCCCCGGGGGGGCCTCCCCTCCTCCCGGGAGGGTGCTGTGGAG